AAGAAAGGACTTGTATCACTAAAGTTTCACCCGAAAGAAATTATATGGGAAATTAACAAACAACCAGAGATGGGAAATTAACTATCGACCAGAGATGTAACAATATATATATATATATATATATAATACCACGTTGAATGGCACTCTGTAAAAGGCCATGGATTACACATTTTGGCCCCCACTCATGTACATAGGGTTAATGTGATTTGCTATTTTAATATATTTCGTTTTCTTAAGTTATCTTTTAAGTTCTACCAATATATTATATTTTCTTGACTGTTAATAACATACTGAAAAATCAGAAAGAGTTTACAATGTCAATCTCACAAGTTTGTAAAATTTTAAAAATATAAAAAACGTTTCTTTTAAGCAAAATTAAATATATGATTGTACCCTTCCATGTGAGACAGTAGTAGATATTTTTAAACTTCACTGAAGGTTTATTCCCCTAAAATAAATTTACAAAAGTCTATTATACTCAATACCATAATTATTAATACATTAATCCTGTATTAACAGGTAGAGTTAGAGGGCAATATGACTGACTTTATCTTAACACTTAACGAAAAATCAAGTTTGCTAAAGCTCAAGTGTCATTTGTTAGGTGGATAAATTCACTACAGAAATTCCAACATATCTTACTGAATATATATATATATATCATATATATATATAAGAAAATTACATGAAAAAACACCATCAAAACTACATACATGTGAGAACATGTTTTTAATGGGTGATTTTGTCCACTTAAATGATACTTCAGAGAAATACTGCATCAGTATTGTAGAACTTGGACTGTATTCCAGTTAATGATGTTCCTTATTGAATTAGAATATAATAATATAAACAGAAACTAATGAAGACTTTCAGTTTCATACTGTTTAATGATTATAATATAACATAAACAACAAGGGACCGCTAAGTAAAAGTTTAAACCCACCCTTACTTTTCAGGAAATCATTGACTATCCTCTTAACTCCAGTAAAGTGCTGGTAACCACTACTACCAATGACAACACATTCCATAAACCAATCAACCCACTGAAAAAATAAAACTTCCTTAACTGGAGCCTAGCCTGTGTTTTCCAAATTTTAGACTTTTGTCCTTTCATTCTACTAGCACAAAGAAATCAGTCCTTTATCCTATCCATTCCATGGATAATCTTGAAAAACTTCAACAAAGTCACAACTTCTTTTATTAAGAGAAAATAAGAATCATCCTAACTGCCCTCCTCTGAACCCTTTCCAACAAGTCAATATCCTTTCTTAGATAAGTAAACCAAAACTATACACAGTGTTCCAAGAGAGACTTAACTTGTGTAGAGATAATTACAGTGTTTGACTTGTAATCAGTATGTCTACAAATACACCTAAAATTCTGTTAGCTTTAATACTACTAACAGGTCACTGCTTTGATGATTGAGTGACTCATCCACTATTATGCAAAGATCCTTTTCTTCAGTCATACTACTTTTAGATTGTTAAATGCTTACAAAGATCAACATACAACAAACAAAACCCAGTAACATAGCCACCATATACAATTATCTATTTTGAAATTTGCAACAATGTACAGATATTTCATCAGCCAATGAAGTGTTATCCCTCTTTTACTGATAAACATTGACCCTATTTGACACAATAACAAAGGAGCAAATTACAACTTGAAAAGTGATGTTGCCAATATCATGACTTAGCAACAACAATTCTTTTCAAATTGCAAGCTCTTCATTTATCTTCCATCTTATAACATATACAACAATTTGCACATACATTTTACATAGGCAGCCACATCTGAATTTGTACACATTGTGAAAATAAGCAACATTTTTGATACTGTAACCATGAGTACACTGAGATTGATAATTAAAATATATAACTGGAAACATTAATAAACATTTAACAGTTAATGACAATTTTCTTAATTTCATAAAAATCAGTATTATACATGCCTATTCTTTAGTTTCAAGTAACCTTACACTTATAGAAATATATATATGATGTTTGTAACTGTATTTTCTATATACTTGAACACCATACATATAATATACACTTCAAAACTACATGAAGTTCAGCCTTGCTGTTTCAATTTGCTCTTGTCCGGGGTTACTAATGAAGGGTAGAAATTAAAATTTCCTCAAACTAATGTAACTCAATTCAACAAGTGGTAAATCAAAGATATTTGATATAGTTGGCTTCATATTTATTTTTTAGAACTTTATACAAATTGTTAAAAAGATAATAATTTCAGTATGACTTTTAAATTTACTATTAGTATTACTAATAATAATATTAATATAAAATTTATTAAATTTTATTAGTAGTACTGTATTATTATTACTATTAATAGTAGTACTAACGAGTTTAACCTAGCTTGAAATTACGAAGTCACTCGAACATATTATATCACTATCAGTATCAAAAAGAAACAAACAAAATTTCATTTTAATTCATGAAATTCAAAATAATTTATAATATTTATAGCACAATACAAATTACAGTACACCACAAGTCAAAAACAGTTATATAAAGTATAACTTACCTAATTTTAGTTGATTCTAAATTCTATAATATCAAAACTCCACAAAAACAATGATGAAATAGTTTCAGGCCTACCACCAAAAATTCTTACTACAACAAAGTAATTGCACACCTTTGTCCACAACCACACCAAATAACAAAGAATTTCTATATTTATATACACACACACACGTGGAACAAACACAAAAGTGTTTTGGAACTGACCAATGGGCATGGTAGGTAGAACACAAGTATACATTCAGAAAAATAGTCCAAAGGGCAAAGATGAATCGTGCGTGACGTCACAGCGTGTTCATGAGCTTTCACAACCACATTAATTGTATATAATTTGTCGAAATGCAAAAAGCTCGTGAACTTAAACAAAAAGATATAAACACAGCAACAAAGAGATATGCGTGTACTTGTTATTACTAATTTAGCTTTGATTGGATTACAAACTCGCCTCTACGAAATTTAAACTGTAAAGTGAAAATACAATGTGCCATAATAGTATTAAAGTTCACGTGTATTTTGTTAACGAAATTGGTTTGCATATAGAAATCATATAATCAGTGTACTTTATTAATTAAATTGGTTTGCACATAGAAACTATACAATCAGTTTTATAAGAATCCTAAAATACACAACTATTACAAGATTTCACACTAAATCTAAATTAAAACCACATTATATTTCATTGCACGAATCCATTCCACAGTTTTTGCCAGAATACGTATAATACAGGTTATTATTGGCTAGTTTTCTTCCTAAGATTTTTGTAACATATTTTGAATACAATTATGCACATTAAAGCTATAGCCTATAGATGTTTTCAAATGACAAGTCTAACTTTAACTTTATTATAGCTGAAAAAAACTCCATTTTTTTTTCGCAATTGAATGTTAAGTCTGCAGTGTTGAAATAAACCGTAATGAAGATTAATGTATATTTAAAGCGTAAATTAGTATAATACTGAATATTTTTCGTCATAATTTAAAATGCTGCCGGAAGTAAACATTACTGATCAAGTTTCTAGTGTAACGAATGTTTATAACAAGTAAAAATTAGCATTCTGATGCAAGACCTTCATTCAGTTTCAAATACTTTAACATTACATCAGTTTGAGTTCGATCGGCAAATAAGATATCATCATTACATTTTGAACTTTAGGTTTAAGTTTCACAAGAATTATTTTTTAAGTGTTTTGCTGAGTTAGCGTTTGTGAAATGCTTCGCAACGTTGATTTATTTGTATTTTTCATTAATATACGTTTATATATATGCAGTAAAAAAGTAGGCCAACTATTTGTACACGTATATAAAAAAGCTTACTATTCAAGTTTGCTTTGCTCACTTGAAATTTGAATATTTAAATACTATTTTCATTGAGTGTTAATTTTGTTCAGTTTTATTTATTCCCTATAATAATGAACATTATATATATAATATCAATAACCTTGTTAAAGATAATTAGTGTGTAAAGTACATTGCCATTTTTGTGACTCTGATAATCCATTATTGTAGGAAATGTTCATTTAAACAGATAGATTTTAGCTTGGTGTAATATAACCAGTTTATTTATTAAAGCTAAGCCTAATTATGTTGTCTAGTAACGCAAGTGTAGCATTTAAGCATAATTTCGTTTCTTAATAATCAATTCAACAGTTTATATAAATTAAAGCTACAACAGTTCATCTACAGAATTGTTAGGCATTACATCATTACTCTCGTTTGAACATTGACCACAAACGTGAGGTCACCGCAACTTACCAGGTATTTCTTGTTACAAATATGGCCGAATGGCCAGACAATAATTAATTCTGTGTGCACTATGTATCATTAAATATAATAAGGTAATATACTGATAATTGTTCTTATATTTACAATAATAAATCCCTTATAAAGAGGCTCTAAGCTGTCATATAATTACTAAACAATTAAAGTGAAAAATTAGTCAGAAGGTTATCAATCAAGTAAAATATTTTGTTTTTGTTTGTTGAATTTTGCGCAAAGCTACTCGAAGGCTATATGCGATAGCTAACCTTAATTTTGAAGTGATAGACTAGACGAAATACAGCTATTTAATACCACCCACTCCAACTCGTGGGCTACTCTAATCGAAATAATAATATCTGAGTGTCACTGTTATTACGCGCCCACAACTTTATATATATATATTTGTTGTTGTTGCAGTGACGGGGGCAAACCATGGATCCATTGAGACGCGCTCGGTTATGGATTACAGAATGTTTAACTCTCGATTATGAATGATTTAACAAATATAAACATTTATAGTATATCTATTAAAACAAGGTCATTTTAAACAAAGAACCCAACACAAACAAACGAAAAATCAAGGAATCCATCTTAATTGAACAAAACACTCTAAACCCTACTCTAAACCAACACCCCGGGGTGCCAAGATACCTCTTCTAAGTTTCACAACAGTTCCGGTC